TTTTTACTTTAAAAATAAATTATTTTAATATTTTTATATGAAAATTTAAGAAAATGACATAATTTCAAAATGTTTTTTCTCCTAAATTATTTGAGTTTCCATTTTATTTTATCCTTTAACAACATTGCATTAATTTTTAGTTATAATTTAAACATTTATATATTTGATTACAAAAAACTCATATATTATTTTAATATTTATGAGAGTGGGAAGGATGGGAAGACACGCCGTATGAATGTGCTTCGCGAATGGTGGGATAAATATAGCTGCGGCCTGGAAGGCTGGAAATAATAAATGTGGGAAAGTGCGACCACTGACCATGCCCGGCGTTGGCCTCAGTCAGGAATTTCTATGAGTCACGTCACGTGTATTCAAAATATAGGACGGTGGTTAAGAGGTTTCCAGAGTGGAAACTGTTAGGATCGGAGGGGCCCCATGTTCTATCGGAGCAGGAAATAAGGCAGCGATGTATGGATTCCGCAAACGGGTAGGTTGGGTTGGGTTTACTCTCGTATACGGGGTTGCGAATCAATAATTGTTCACCATAATTTGATTTGAACGATTTACAGGGTACTTGGGGATTGAGTTTTGTTTTGTTTTTATTATTATTATTATTATTATTTTAATTATGTTTTTAATATTAATTTATTAAAATTAAATTATAATAATTTTGAATTAAAAAATAAGATGAGTATCTTTTTAAATCTTAATTAACATATTTATCTTTATTTTATTTAAAAAATATTATTATTATTTGAAATATACTAATCCTCTAATACTTACATAAATTTATAATTAACATTACATAATCTAATATAAGTTATTTCTTAAAGAAACAAAAATGGTCATTAGAAATTGAGAACTAACATCAGTTAAAAATAATGATGCACCTCAAAACCTATTTTTTAATTAAACAAAAGTTCTTACTTGAATCATTTCAAATATTTTATTCTCATTCTAGCGATACTTTTAAAAAATATTTATATTTTTATTTACAAAAACTGTTCAAACCACAGTAAACAAAATAAGAGTCTTGACTTTTCAAAACTTACAATCTAAATGACTACAAGCCAAATATAAATTGTACACCAATAATTCGTATAGAGAATCTAATAGTGGAAGATAATATATAATTATTTTTTAATTATTTTGTTTCTTTTTATTCGATTAATTTTCAACAAAACAACTTATTTTTTGTGGGATATATTTTGAATGATACATTTATTTTTTTTTTCTTTATAGATAATTGTTAATAGCTGGACAATATGGGTTTGGAGGAATCAAAAGATATTTGGAACAGAACACGATAGCGAGAGGGGGTAGCCGAGATAATCAAGCATAGATCTTTCCACTGGTTAAAGGCAAAGCTATATCCAAAGCTGCAACAGGACATATGGAAAGATAATCCCAAATCAGCACTAAGGAGGCACACTGGACGCTAGGTATTAAATGGGGAGATATGATGTTTAAAATTCTGTAACAAGGTGTGGGAAAAGGAGAGACAATTTTTTGTTGATTGCTAGGGATGTAAATGGGTTAGGTACCTCTTGTACCAAGAAAATAAAATGTTTTTGGCTTACCAAAAAAAAAAGAAGAGGAAACTACTGATCCATTCATTGATATGATTGCAATGACCAATAAAACAAGCACCAAAGGACAGAACTTACAAAAAGGATCCAAAATTCCAAACCAATAACAAAGGGACATACCAAAGAGCACTGACAGACCAGTTGAATAATTTATAAATATTTAAAATTTCACGTTAAAAAAGTATGAGAACTTAAAAGAATTTATAAATGTTTATTTTTTATTAACAAATAATTAAGTAAAATGAAATCTAAACAATATTGATTCTTGATTCTTTATATATAGTCAAAAGATAAGCACTTGGGCACCTATATAAATGCATTCTTAAGGGAAGCAAAGTCCTTTCCTTTCTCCTCTTCTCAATCACCGCCGTGAAAGTCTGGAACCCTCCACCGCCAGGGGTGGTGGTGGAGGAACCTCCTCAATAATAACTGCGGTGTGCACACCATGACTCCTCTCTTCTTTCTGTACTCCCTTTGCATTCTGCTTGATCTTTCCTTTCAGTCCCCTCTTTGTCCTTTTCCTGTTCTTTGTCGATCGTGGCTTCTTCATCTTCATCTTCATCTTCTTCTTCTTTTTCTTCTCTTCTCCTTCACCTTCTTCCTCACCGCTAGACTGTCAAATACAATTTTAAACATAAACAAAAACTGAAAAACTCCATAGGAGTAGGAAATAAGGCGGTGGCGATTTAGGATAACCTTTTACATAATTTTTATAAATAAATAAAAATTATAAATACATAAATAAAAATTATCTAAAATGGCTACCGGTAATGGCCATGGTGAAGATTCTCTTTATTTTGATGGGTGGAAGGCGTATGATAAGGATCCATACCATCCCACCAAGAAACCTAATGGAGTTATATAGATGGGTCTTGCAGAAAATCAGGTAATTATAATTACCTGATTTTCTGCAAGACCCATCTGATTTTCTAAAATTAAAGCTGCCATCTTGGTTGCCCAGTTTAGAGATCAAGACCAGCTGCTGTCTAAAATGGCTACCGGTAATGGCCATGGTGAACATTCTCCTTATTTTGATGGGTGGAAAGCGTATGATAAGGATCCATACCATCCCACCAAGAGACCTAATGGAGTTATACAGATGGGTCTTGCAGAAAATCAGGTAAATTACCTGATATTACCTGATTTTCTGCAAGACCCATCTGATTTTCTAAAATTAAAGCTGCCATCTTGGTTGCCCAATTTAGAGATCAAGACCAGCTACTGTCTAAAATGGCTACCAGTAATGGCCATGGTGAAGATTCTCCTTATTTTGATGGGTGGAAAGCGTATGATAAGGATGCATACCATCCCACCAAGAGACCTAATGGAGTTATACAGATCGGTCTTGCAGAAAATCAGGTAAAGATGGCAGCTTTAATTTTATGTAATTTAAAGCAAGGGTTTAGACAGAGCACAAGACTAATGAACTTTATTCGTTGAATGCAGCTTTGTTTTGATTTGATTCAAGAGTGGCTCATAAAACAAAAGATGCTTAAATTTTTAAGGATGTCACGAAATTAACTTACCGAGCAGGAGCTGCTGTCAGAGCTGGGAAGCTTCTCCAAGAGACTGTGCTTCTTTTCACCCTCCTCCTCTGGTTTTGTCTCCTCACTCTTTACCTTCTCGTCAAACTCACAGACGACCACCTCCTCCTGCTTCTTCTCTTCCTTCTTCCCCAAGAAATCAAACAACCCTCGATCCTTGGTCTCAACTTCGCTCTCACCAACGC